AAAGTTTACCAACTATTTTCATAATTTTGCATTTATTTTGCGTGAACTTCTGTTCGGTTAAATTTCTCCCTATTTTAAGCTTCTCACCTTTTGGCCAACAAAAATAAACAATAAAGTAAAAAATATTTCGTGGCTTAGCGCCCTCCATTTCACATAATTTCTTTTTATTTCCACCTTTCCATTCTTTTTGTTGTTGTTGGTTTTTTTTGGGGATTTTCTTCCATTTTTGTTGTTGTTGCTGTTGCTGTTTCTCGGTTGTTCCAACTTTCGGCGATGGCCACAAAAAATAATGTAAAAAGTTTAATATGCATAAAGTTTCATTGGGTTTTTGCCGGCCATCGCTGGGGAGCCAGGACCAGAAAAAGTTGTTTTCGGATTGGGGGCCGAAAAATGGGCTGGGCATTGTGGAAGGTGTTGCAGGCACATAAATGTGGCCAAGACTTATGTTTTCTGGTTTTGTCTGCTTGTTAGCCTAAAAGTTAACGTCCGTTAGGTGTTCGCAAAACGTAAACCGAACGAAAAGAAACTAAAACCGTATGTAAATAACTGAAATATTTTGTCAAATACATATCCTGCACAGCTCTTGTCTGTCAATGCTGTGCATTTTTTGAGTCCTTTGGGTGAATTTCATGTCCGCGACGAGGATAATTTACTTTGCCCAGAAAAAAGGGAAATAAAATAATAAAGAATTATGCACGTATTAACGCCAATCCTTAGCGAGATAAATTAATAATTTAAAAAAGGTTAGAATACATTAAATACTACTTAATTTTGTTAACCTTATTATTTTAGCTGTCAAGTTATTCGTTAATATATTTGTGTATTTAGATGTGCCTTAAACTTTATCTAAAATTCATCTAAATTCAAAGTTTTGGGATCTCTTTGCTTTGATCAAGGGACAAAACACACTAGAGGGTATTTTAAAGTTCCATCGGTAATATAAAACCATCTCTTTCTGTTGTTTCATAAATTTCGGTTGTGCAAATAAAATGCAAATCCTTGCAGACTTGACAACGTTCTCGGAGTATCGTGGAATATGGGGATTTACCCCCTCAAGAACACAAAAAATTGGGCTTTACTATCACAAAACCTTAAACCAAAAAGGAAAAGGAAAAGGCGGAAAAGTAAACGAGTAAGGGATCCAACCACAAAAAACCAAAAAAATAGACAAGCAAACTATGGAATGGCAATCACAAAGGCGGTGGTTCAAAAAGTTTAAGACGTAAAGAAATATCTACATATTATTATTCCAAATTCAGCTTAATTTATTTCCTCTTACTTTTTTATACATTTTTTTTTAAATTTTTATCAATATATAGTATAAAAGGAATTTTAGTATAATATACTTGAAAGGTAGGAAAACCTGCGACTCCATACGAATATATGGGTTTTTTCTGCTATGGACTAGATTTATTTGATCTGATTTCATTTTTGGGAACTTCTTGAACCACTCCTGTTCATGATATAGAAAATCGCCGGACGTTATCTGCGCTTATCCCTGCGCCCTTCCCTTTCCCCCCGATTTTGGGGCTTGGTCCCTACTTTTCTCTTTGCCAAACAGGCGGCAACAAGAAAAATGCTGGAAATTTATGCTCTGCACTGACACAAAAAATAAGGAGAAAGGTGGATAGAGGAAAGTGGTGGGCAATGGGGGAAAGTGGGGGACAGGGTGGCGGAGAAAAATGCTGAAAGTGGATACATTTATAGAGCGAAAGACAGAGAGAGCCTAAAGTTTTGGCTTGCAGTGGGAAATTGAAGTTGGAAGCTGCACCGAAAACATTATTATTGCACGTGTATGAACTAAGAATGTATATTTTTTTTATTAAATATTGTGTTGTAACTATAATTTTTACTTAATGATCATTGGTGCTATTAAATGCTGCCAAATAATATACTAATATAAAAAGATCGTCGATTGGAAAAAAAATTTGAGAGTGAATAAATATATATATATATATGATATATTCAAAAGGTTAAAGGTTGATCGAATAAAATCAAACTATATAAAAACATTAAACATTATGCAGAAACTGTTTAAAAATGGTTTTTAAATTGCATTTAACTTTTGTTTAAATTAGTAACTGTTGAAAATTCTTCTTGTATAAAGTTCTTAAATATTTTCTTGCAGTGCAAAATCGTAGTGTACGTGGGAATTATTGTGGCAGGCGGAATGCTCGAAATGGATGAACGCAGAAGGATAACACACGTACCACAGGGACAGTCGACGGAGGGGATTCCCAGGCGGTGGGCAGGGGCGTGGCAGGGGGGTGGGGGGGACTAAGGGGACTTAAGGGGCCCAACAACAGCGACAGAGAGTAGCTGCATTCCATAAATAAAAACGGCAAAATGGCGCACAAAATGCCACAGAAAAAGGGGGAAACTTGAATGAATGGGCAGGCGGTAGTCGAAAGGCGGCCAAGGGGATTTCGGGGGGGCAGAGAAACCCACACAGAGGGAGAAGGATACCAACAAAACGAGAACGAGAACGAGAACGAAATCATCATGAATGGCGAACGTGACACAAATGACAAAATATCAAGCAGACCAAAGGCAATGGCAACTGTCGTCTGTTGCACAGAGACCCCCAAAACCCCGCCCCTAACAAAGGCCGGACCACACCCCCCCACCACCCCACCCCTTGACCATTCAGACCCCCACCCTTCAGCACCCCCTTGAAAACCCCTTCGCAGCTTCATTCATTTCTGAGGGCACTTGGGGATTTGTGCGATTCACAGACACAGACGAAGGCCGGTGGACAAGCGGCCAGAAAAAAGGGGTGGTGCACTGAGAAAAACACGTTTATACACCTCAAAATTACTATAGTCATTAAAACAATAAATTTGAACTGACAAGTCAAAATGTATTACGAAGACACCAAGCATAGAATAAATTTAAAGTGAATTTTAAGTCGTATAAATAAAACAATTTTCAAATATATAAGTCAAATTAATGTTAATAAGTCCATAAGACATTACTTTTTTCATGCAATAAAGATTTGATTTTTATGTAAGCCAGATTGTTTAATTTTTAAAATTCTAGGGCTTTTCGAAGCTTTTTGTTCCTGTGTCCTAAAAAGAGGCGTGGGAACGGGGGTCTGAAACCAGGCGGATCATGGGGGTCAGTAAGGTGGTTTTTCCTGTGAGGAAAGCGGGGGTGGTGGGTGTTGTGGATGTCGGACAGTGCGGATTGTCTGTCAGCTTTTGTCCCCTTCATCCTCGTCACTGTCGCTCTTCTTCTCCTTCGACGAACAGCAACCACCACCCACCTCCCACCGCCCCCTTCTGATGCCACGCCTCCCGGGTGTGTCGGTTTCGGTTTTAAGTGGCAACTGTGTGCAGTGTCAGCATTGTGGCCCCCAACTTTTTACCACCCACCGTCCATGGCCATATCCATGTCCTTGCCATGGCAAAGATAATATTCCCGATTTACAAGCAGTCGAAATCAAAAAATCAACTTTGGATATGGTAAATTTTGCAAGCGTGAAATGTCCGTTTCAAAAGGAAGTCAACTTATACAGAAATATACTATATAATATATTTCCAAAATATTAATTTTACTTTTTTCGTGTTTGCATTATACTCACTCATTATTATTTCCAAAATCTCAGTAACCGAAGATCCACAATTCAAAAATGGGATATAGACGAAAACAGATAGGTTTTACCGAATAAAATAAATTTTATCATTAAAAATACATATTGTAGGATTTTCAGTTCTTTTCAAAACCTTTATTTTTGGTTTAAACGTTTAAGACATTCAATTATTTTTAGTAAAAATTTATATGTGTGAGTTTTTCCCTAAAATACAAATCTTAAGAATCTTATTTGAAATTCGTTCTTGAAAATAAAATTGTTCTATTTATGTTGAAACTTTGCTTACAAATTTAAATTTAGAAATGACTAGCTTATTTTGTTTCAATAAAACGAATTTACCGATACCAGGAGTTCTTACTGATAATTTAGTGAAAGGTCATGTTCTGACAAAAATTTACTCTTATGATCCAAAGAGCGTACTTTATCTTGTAGTTATGCCTGGCGATATACCCCACGCTTTTGGCATCAATACAGAGGACGGGTTTTGCGTTTATGCCATAATTGAAAACGCATTCTTCCGAGTCCCGGTCCAGGTCCAGATGTCTTTCGCTTATGATGATCCATTTCTGGGTGTCCAGTCCTGGATTTTGCTTCTCCATCAGTTTGAATATGGAGAACCAGTCCTTGAATTTGGGAATTACGAAAGAGCATATGTATTTTTTCGAGAAGTCGTGGTGAACACGACGGCGAACTGGATGGGATACCCCGACAGGCTTGGATTGGCTGATCGGTTTCTTGTTTTGAAAGCCGCGACAGAGCTGGTTGATCACTTCTATGTTCACATCCGTGTCACTATCGCCGGAAGCTCCTTTCAAATCAGCCTCTGCATCTCCAAGGAAACGTAAGCCGCACACCAAAGTGTTGTCAGCAAATGCCAAGATGTCTGCATATCGGTCCTTGGGATTGACTGCTGGTCTCTGCGTCCTTGGCATAGAGGACAGCAGCTCGTCGTCATGAGGCTCCTCGTTGCAGACCAGGATCCTTAGGTCTTGGACTGGAATTTTGAGGCGAAACATCAGTTCGTCTTTTATGTCCCGAATACTGGCAGTGTCGTCTACATGTATTCTGCCGGCTATGCCCCCCCTCCGAGTTGTCCCGAAAAAGAATTCCAATTTCATGGTTGTGATATAAAATTAGAAAATAGTTTTGAAAATTCGGTCTAGTCAGAAGTGTTTACTGGTCGAGAACTACCCGTATACTGAACCTAAAGCCTTACGGGCTAACGTACGAACGCTTGACGTTAGTAGTTTGCCTACTGCGTTCAGAATAATGTTCTTTAAATCAAAAACAAATTTAGGAACTTAAAAATAATAAGAAATTGTAATAACTACATATATTTCTGGACTTTAAGATTAACTAAACTTTATTAAACCGTCATTTTGAAATACACATGCTTGGGCAGAAGTCCTCAGATGTGCTCCCCCGGCACGGTCTCCACCACAATGGTCTTGGTCAGGACATCTTGGGCAGTGCGTTGGGTCTTAATGGCGAACATGAGGAACAAGGGAAGGAAGAGCATCGACAGGATGTTCTTGGCCAGGGAGCGACGAAAGGAGCTCATCAGCGAAGGCGGTTGAGCCTGGTGGATGACCACCTTCGGCGGATCCTGCAGATCCTGCAGACCCGGCAGTTGAATCGGAACTATGCTCGCCCCCTGCAGAACACAGATGCCCAACAGGGCCTTTCCCGGAGTGACCCCCGCGAAGGAATAGCACCACAGGGCCTCGAGACAGCTGCGGGGAATCTCGGACAGGAGGTTCAGCAGCACGAGGTCGTTGAACAGCCCCACATAGTTCACCGAGTGGAGGCCCAACAGGACCGAGGACAGCAGAAGTGTGAGGACCAGCTGCAGGACTCCTATGATCATCCTGTCGATGGCCTCCGCTGCAGTGCGTTTCCACAAGGGCGCCACCACGAACACATTGGCACTTGGTCCAGCTGGCAGCTCAACATCGGGAGTTGGTTGCTCCAGGGGCAGTGGAGCAGCAGGATGTGCTGGATGTGGAGCCTGGAATAGCTGCGGATAGTTCACCACCAGGTGGTGCATGAACATCAGGTTGGCTGTTCGGATCGCATGAACCTCCTTGACCCACTCCGCCAGCTTGGCAAAGTACTCATCCCGGGGGGACATTCCCTGCTGCTTCTCTTCATTTTTGTCATCCATTTTTAACTTGTATGTAATTATATTATTGTTTTTCGTCTCACTATTGTTTCAGTTGGCAACTAAAGTGAAGGTTAGTAGGTACTTGCAACTTAAAAAAAACAAATCAGTTATTTTACGGAACATATCAATAGTCATTTGGTCAATATTTAACGCAGTTTTCCAAATCGTACCGTTACTTCAAAAGTTATGGGACATATTAAGTGTTAATTATGACGTCACTGCATATTTATAACTGTAGTATATTAGAGAAAGCGAGAGAGAGTGAGACAACTGTTAGCGGGGGTGCCGTTCTATCTTAGCTTGTGGTGTTTGCACTGCAGTTCGGCAGATGGCGCTACCTAAAGTTGAATTATTTATTTTAAAATTGGTTAGCTGAGTAAAGGGTTTATCCTTATTTTAATTTGCAAAGAGCTGGCTTTTAAAAATATGTAGTGAGTGACTATACAAATTTTGATAACTATTAGCCTTCACTTTACTTGCAATAGTGAGACGGAAAATAACTATTAAACCCATTACATAAGAGATAAAAATGGATGACAAAAATGAAGAGAAGCAGCAGGGAATGTCCGCCAGGGATGAGTACTTTGCCAAGCTGGCGGAGTGGGTGAAGGAGGTCCATGCGATCCGAACAGCCAACCTGATGTTCATGCACCACCTGGTGGTGAACTATCCGCAGCTATTCCAGGCTCCACATCCTGCTCCTCCACTGCCCTTGGAGCAACCAACTCCCGAAGTTGAGCTGCCAGCTGGACCAAGTGCCAATGTGTTCGTGGTGGCGCCCTTGTGGAAACGCACTGCAGCGGAGGCCATCGACAGGATGATCATAGGAGTCCTGCAGCTGGTCCTCACACTTCTGCTGTCCTCGGTCCTGTTGGGCCTCCACTCGGTGAACTATGTGGGGCTGTTCAACGACCTCGTGCTGCTGAACCTCCTGTCCGAGATTCCCCGCAGCTGTCTCGAGGCCCTGTGGTGCTATTCCTTCGCGGGGGTCACTCCGGGAAAGGCCCTGTTGGGCATCTGTGTTCTGCAGGGGGCGAGCATAGTTCCGATTCAACTGCCGGGTCTGCAGGATCTGCAGGATCCGCCGAAGGTGGTCATCCACCAGGCTCAACCGCCTTCGCTGATGAGCTCCTTTCGTCGCTCCCTGGCCAAGAACATCCTGTCGATGCTCTTCCTTCCCTTGTTCCTCATGTTCGCCATTAAGACCCAACGCACTGCCCAAGATGTCCTGACCAAGACCATTGTGGTGGAGACCGTGCCGGGGGAGCACTTCTGAGGACTTCTGCCCAAGCATGTGTATTTCAAAATGACGGTTTAATAAAGTTTAGTTAATCTTAAAGTCCAGAAATATATGTAGTTATTACAATTTCTTATTATTTTTAAGTTCCTAAAGTTTTTTTTGATTTAAAGAACATTATTCTGAACGCAGTAGGCAAACTACTAACGTCAAGCGTTCGTACGTTAGCCCGTAAGGCTTTAGGTTCAGTATACGGGTAGTTCTCGACCAGTAAACACTTCTGACTAGACCGAATTTTCAAAACTATTTTTTAATTTTACATCACAACCATGAAATTGGAATTCTTTTTCGGGACAACTGGGAGGGCGGGCATAGCCGGCAGAATACATGTAGACGACACTGCCAGTATTCGGGACATAAAAGAACAACTGATGTTCCGCCTCAAAGTTCCAGTCGAAGACCTAAAGATCCTGATCTGCAACGAGGAGCTTCATGACGACAAGCTACTGTCCTCTGTGCCAAGGACGCAGAGTCCAGAAGTCAATCCCAAGGACCGACATGCAGACATCTTGGCATTTGCTGACAACACTTTGATTTGCGGCTTACGTTTCCTTGCAGATGCAGAGGCTGATTTGAGTGGAGCTTCCGGCGATAGCGACACGGATTGCAGTGTGAACATAGAAGTGATCAACCAGCTCTGTCGCGGCTTTCAAAACAAGAAACCGATCAGCCAATCCAAGCCTGTCGGGGTATCCCATCCAGTTCGCCGTCGTGTTCACCACGACTTCTCGGAGAAATACATATGCTCTTTCGTAATTCCCAAAATCAAGGACTGGTTCTCGATATTCAAACTGATGGAGAAGCAAAATCCAGGACTAGACACCCAGAAATGGATCATCATAAGCGAAAGACATCTGGACCTGGACCGGGACTCGGAAGAATGCGTTTTCAATCATGGCATAAACGCAAAACCCGTCCTCTGTATTGATGCCAAAAGCGTGGGGTATATCGTCCAGCATAACTACAAGATAAAGTACGCTCTTTGGACCATAAGAGTAAATTTATGTCAGAACATGACCTTTCACTAAATTATCAGTAAGAAGTCCTGGTATCAGTAAATTCGTTTTATTGAAGCAAAATAATCTAGTCATTTCTAAATTTAAATTTGTAAGCAATATTTCAACATAAATAGAGCAATTTTATTTTCAAGAACGAATTTTAAATAAGATTCTTAAGATTTGTATTTTAGGGAAAAACTCACCCATATAAATTTTTACTAAAAATAATTGAATGTCTTAAACGTTTAAACCAAAAATAAAGGTTTCGAAAAGAACTGAAAATCCTACAATTTGTATTTTTGTATTTTATTCGGTAAGTTTTCGTTTATGTCCCATTTTTGAATTGTGGATCTTCGGTTACTGAGATTTTGGAAATAATAATCCGTAATATCAAATTTTCTACAGAAAAATGATTAGGCATTCGACTAAGTAAAAGTAAGTATTGTATGCTTCTCAGATGTTTACCTTTCCCGAATTTAAATCTGATCCGTTGATAAGAAACCACCCAAAGGTTTTCTCTTCTCATCATCATCGTGCAATCGAAATTTTTGCTGCCATTTTTTCCCTTTCAGGTAAATGGCAAACAATGTTAAGCCAACCGCAAAGTCAGAGGAATATATTTATGTATATAAATTTATATCCTCTACACCGCCATACAGAGCCAAGTGAACCTGAACGTGTGTGTATGACAAAGCCACAGATAACCGGGCTGACTAACTATTTCTGTTTTCTGGTGGCCTGCGGCCCCAGCTTCCCAAATTGCGATCTAGTGCGAATTTGGAGCACTCGGAGTTCTCTGCACAGTGGAAGGTGTTCGGGAAAATCATGGCAACATTTCAGTTGGTCTTAGAGTTATTACTATTGCCAAAAAGGGGAGATATTACGTATACGTCTAGTCATGCAATGAAAATAAAAAGATTCAAAAAAACATTAACTAATAAAAAAGGAATTTCATAATTTCATAACTGATAAATAACTCAATTTAAAAAAAAAAAAAAAAAACAAATTTCATTGAACATATGTATATATAACAAGCAAAAAGGCTACTGAAAATTACTAAAGCTTGAGAGGAAACATAAAATACAAGAAAGGAAAGCTAACTTCGGGCGGAGCCGAAGTTGAAATACCCTTGCAGAATATTCTTCAAATTATATTCTCCAAAATTATTCATATGATGTATTCTTAATACTCATAAAAAATCCCAACTTCCCAACTTTAAAAACACCAAAGTTATGGCATTTCCAATCGTTCAGTTATGTATATGGCAGCTATAGAATATAGTCGGCCGATCCTTATGAAATTTGATATGTCGGATTGATTGGGCAAAAATAAAACCCATAGAAAATCCCAACTTCCTAACTTAACAAACACTAAGGTTATGGCATTTCCGATCAATCAGTTATATGGCAGCTATAAGATATAGTCGGCCGATCCCTATGAAATTTGGTAGGTCGGATTAATTGGCCAAATATAAAACCCATAGAAAATCCCAACTTCCTAACTTTACAAACACCAAAGTTATGGCATTTCCGATCAATCAGTTATATAGCAGCTATAGGATATAGTCGGCCGATCCCTATGAAATTTGGTACGTCGGATTGATTGGCCAAATATAATACCCATAGAGAGTCCCAACTTCCTAACTTAACAAACAGCAGAGTTATGGCATTTCCGATCAATCAGTTATATGGCAGCTATAGGATATAGTCGGCCGATCCCGGCCGTTCCGACTTATATACTGCGTGCAAAGGAAAGAAGGGTGTGTGCAAAGTTTCAATTCGATATCTTTAAAACTGAGAGACTAGTTCGCGTAGAAACAGACAGACGGACAGACAGACGGACAGACAGACGGACAGACGGACAGACGGACAGACGGACAGACGGACAGACGGACATGGCTATATCAACTCAGGAGGTGATCCTGATCAAGAATATATATACTTTATAGGGTCGGAGATGTCTCCTTCACTGCGTTGCACACTTTTGACCAAAATTATAATACCCTCTGCAAGGGTATAAAAAGTTTTTGGATGTAAACTAATACTAGACGGAATAAGACAAGTTAAGTATTTAAATTCTTATTAAAAGATAGACTTAATTAATTTTAAAATGTTAATTGTTTTTTTTTGGAATTCTGCAAAAAATAAAGAAAACAGAAGTATGCTGTGAATTAAATGTTGTTATAGAATTTGAGCTGGGTTTTTCTGTGCCCTTAAACGTTATCATCTAGTGCTCTGTGCCTTTCCTATACCAGCCCCCCCTCTCCCCTCCTGATTTTTCCGCAATACCCAATCCCCACTCGGTTTTCCAGCCCCATTTTCGCCACCCCCCTCCCCCTCCAACACTGCTTTTCCGGCGCCTCTTGCTCTGGTGGCTCAGTGTGGCTTTTATGGGATTTGATTTCTAATAAGCGGCAAGCGAGGCACGTACCACACACATACAGCCACACACAGAGGCGGTGAAAAAGGGGGGCGTGGCAGGGGAAGGACATGCAGTCCATTTCTAGTCAAAAGATTTCTCTCAGTTTTTGGGAGGCTCTTGTTTTCCTATTTTTTTTGTGTGTTCGCCCTCTATTTTTGCTCAGTTTTTTTTTTCTTATTTTGCGTTAGGGGCGGGTAAAAAAGGGGGGCGAAAACGTTGACAGGGGGGTCTCTATTGTTGTTGTTTTTCTGTGTGAGCGAGTGTGTGCTAGTGGATTTTTCTCG